ATTGAATTCGCGTAAAAGCTAGCTGGTTGTGTTGTGACCACATATGGTATTCCGGCTTTTAGTATTCCAGGTTTTAGAGATTGGTCCCATTTAAATTTTAGTATTCCGGGGTTTGGAGATTCCGGCTTTTAGTATTCCGGGTTTTAGAGATTCCGACTTTTAGTATTCCGGGTTTTAGAGATTACCCATTTTAGTATATTCCGGGTTTTAGAGATTCCCCATTTTAGTATTCCGGATTTTAGAGATTCCGGCTTTTAGTATTCCGGGTTTTAGAGATTTTCAGTTAAAACAATTGGTTGATAAACCAACTCGTGGTGCCAAGATTTTGGATCTTATACTTACAAACATGCATAAATTTTACGATGTACAACCAGCCATGGTTTTCCCTCCTTTCGGATTATCAGACCATAATGTGATAATGGTTGAGCCCAAAGTTAAAACATCATCAGAAACCACAAGTAGAAAGACAGTAATAAAAAGAGACATTCGTCAATCACGCAAAAAAGAACTTGGTCGATATCTGAGTAACTTTGACTGGCAACTTATCGATTCCTCCGAACCGTGCGATAAGAATTGTGATATCTTATGCTCCGCAATAAAGACGGGTTATGACATCCTTATACCTGAGAAACACGTTAAATTCCATCGCAACGACAACCCATGGATAACCGAAAAATTGAAACAGCTGATCAAGTTTCGACAACGTGCGTTTTCATCTAATAACACTACTCTTTTCAAATTCTACCGAAATAAAGTGAATAGAATGAGAAAATCTTGCCGGGCAGACTATTTTGCTTCAAAAGTTGCTAATCTGAAAAAGTCTAACCCCAAATCTTGGTGGACAGAGGTTAAACGTATCTCCGGTATGAGACCTGTATCTGGCAGTTTGCTTAACCAACTTCATGTCGAAGATACAGAACATTTAACACACAAAGGTTTTGCAGATTCAATTAACAAAAGCCTAATAGAACCAATGAATACTTATGATCCCTTAAATGTCACAGATTTGAACACCTTGTTTGAGGAGATTCCTGATTATCCGTTAGATGTAAACATGAATTTGACAAATACTGCATCGGTCTTGAAAAAACTGAAAAGCTTGAACCCGCATAAAGCTCCGGGCCCTGATGATATCCCCAATTGGATTCTTCGTGATTATGCCGAAATCCTTGCTCCCTCTGTATCGGACTTATTGAATTCGTCCTACAAGCAAAAAAGACTGCCCTCATGCTGGAAACAAGCTAACATTACACCTATTCCGAAAGAGAAACCTGTTAAAGACATAAGCAAACAGCTCCGACCTATTTCGTTAACTCCGGTTCTGTCTAAACTTGCAGAAGAGTTTGTTGTTGAAAAATATATCGCTCCAGCAGTGTTGTCGTCAATTGATCCTTTTCAATTTGGTGGCATTCCTCGATCATCTGCTACAAAAGCCTTAATTTCTATGGTTCATGCGTGGACTCAAGCCACAGATGGAACTGGAAACGCTGTAAGAGTGGTTCTTTTTGACTATAAGAAGGCCTTCGACTTGATTGATCATAAGATCTTAGCCACGAAAATCATCCAATTGCCAATGCCAAATTTCATTAAGCGGTGGGTAATTGACTTTCTGATGAACAGGCAACAACGGGTGAAACTTGCAAGAGACTGTATGTCTGACCATTCAGACATTTCTTCCGGTGTCCCTCAAGGAACCAAATTGGGACCTTGGTTATTCATCCTAATGATAAATGACCTACGCCCCCCACATCATGAGCGATGGAAATACATCGATGATGCTACGGTATCTGAAATCATTTATATCAACACACCCAGTAAAATTCAAGATACAGTCGATTGTGTTCAAAATTGGTCTGTAGAAAACAAGATGCAATTAAATGCCTCCAAGTGCAAGGAACTTGTTATCAGTTTTACAAAACCTGAGAAAGAATTTCCGCGCCTTAAGATCATCTCAGGCCAAATCGAGACAGTGAACCACGCAAGAATCTTAGGTTTGACAATTTCTAAAGATCTAAAATGGAACCAACACATAACTAACATAGTTAAGAAGGCGAACAAACGGATTTATTTTATTATTCAGTTGAAACGTGCTCATGTACCTGAAGCTGACATAATACATTTTTACACTACCTGCGTCAGACCAGTCATGGAATTCAGCTGTCAAGTTTTCCACTTCGCCCTTCCTTCCTACTTATCTAATGCCCTGGAACGGGTTCAAAAGCGTGTTTTATCAATCATCTATCCACTGACAGGTTATGCGGATTGTTTACAAAAATCGGGCATCAAACCATTAAGTGACAGGCGTGTGGATGCATGCGAGAAACTGTTTAATGAAATCACCACAACACCAGTAGCTAATATGCATAATCATGTACCATCTAGATACTTTCCAAATTACGACCTTAGACACTCAAGGTCTTTTGTTGTTCCTCAGACCAAAACGAACAGATTTAGAAACAGTTTTTTCCCTTCATCTGCAAGGCATATCAATAATATTAACTGACAATCGATTCTGATATTCAGTTTTAGACTGGCTAACATTTTTTTAGAAATTTACTAGTTTCATAGTTAATTTGTAATGTAACTTTAAACTTCTGTAATATAGAATTATAAATTGTAATGTAATTTTAAACTTCTGTAAATATAGAATAACTAATTTTAATCATTTCTCTTGTAAAATTTAGCACGCAATTCAGCCTTATTGGCTGCTATGTGTTAATCTTATTAAACAAACAATCTATCTATCTATCTATCTAGTATTCCGGGATTTAGAGATTCCCCATTTTAGTATTCCAGATTTTAGAATTCCCTATTTTAGTATTCCGGGTTTCAGAGATTCCCCATTTTAGTATTCCGGATTTTAGAGATTCCCCATTTTAGTATTCCGGGTTTAGAGATTCCGGCTTTTAGTATTCCGGGTTTTAGAGATTCCGGCTTTTAGTATTCCGGGTTTTAGAGATTCCCCATTTTAGTATTCTGGGTTTTAGAGATTCCCCATTTTAGTATTCTGGGTTTTAGAGATTCTTCATTTTAGTATTCCGGGTTTTAGAGATTCCCTATTTTAGTATTCCGGGTTTTAGAGATTCCCCGTTTTAGTATTCCGCGTTTTAGAGATTCCGGCTTTTAGTATTCCGGGTTTTAGAGATTCCGGCTTTTAGTGTTCCGGGTTTTAGAGATTCCCCATTTTAGTATTCCGGGTTTTAGAGATTCCCCATTTTAGTATTCTGGGTTTTAGAGATTCTTAATTTTAGTATTCCGGGTTTTAGAGATTCCCTATTTTAGTATTCCGGGTTTTAGAGATTCCCCATTTTAGTATTCCGCGTTTTAGAGATTCCGGCTTTTAGTATTCCGGGTTTTAGAGATTCCGGCTTTTAGTGTTCTGGGTTTTAGAGATTCCCCATTTTAGTATTCCGTGTTTTAGAGATTCCCTATTTTAGTATTCCGGGTTTTAGCATTCCCCATTTTATTTTCCCGGTTTTAGCATTCCCCATTCCCCGTTCCCCATTCCCCGATTCCTTTCCCCGATTCCCCATTCCTTGTTATAGTATGGCTGCAGTCGTATCTATCAAATAGGACCCAGTGCTGTTGTGTGAATGGCAAACTATCAAGTCCATCAATTATGAAAACAGGCATACCTCAGGGTTCTGGTTTAGGCCCATTGTTATTTCTAATTTACATCAATGATTTACCAAAATGTTTAAACGCCGGGACAAAACCAGATATGTTCGCGGATGATACCCAAATTGCAACATCAAGTGACGATATCAAAGTTATCACTGAAACATTAAATAGTGATTTAAACAATGTTGCAAATTGGCTGTCCGCAAACAAATTAACTCTGAACAATGGTAAAACCGAATATATGATAATTGGTTCCAAGAAAAGGCTTAGTCAAGTGACTGCCGATCCTGCTATCAGTGTAGGTAACTTAGAAATTAAGAGAGTTGAAATGACAAAATCATTGGGCCTAATGATAGACGAGTCTTTAGACTGGACCGCGCAGGTCGAACACATTACAAAAAAGGCCTTGCTATTCTCAGACGACTCCGGGATACAGTCGAATTCAATACCTTAATAACAATATACCAATCCATAATTCAACCTTATTTCGATTATTGTGCTCAAGTGTGGGGTTGCTTAAGCTAAAAGTTCCGAACCTCGAAAAAAGAAGAATGCAACAATTTTCAATTCTCATGTACAAGGTGAAAAACAAATTGGTCCCCGATTATTTGTGTGATATGTTCACAGATGTTAGTGATGTACACAACCATAACACAAGACATGTACAGTCGGGAGCCGATTTGACATTGCCTAAACCAAAAACAAATAGTATGAAAAATGCATTCTCCTACAGAGTTGCGGAAGTCTGGAACTGCCTTCCTGCATCGGTAAAAGCATCAACAACTATTGCTAATTTTAA